TGCTGAATCGTGGAATGACAAGAGTGGAGACCAAATTGGTATGAAGGAATGAAATTATGTAAATCTAGGATGGGTATTAAGCATTTCAAAAGGAGTCTTTCAAATATTTTGGACATTACTAAGAGAAGGCTGATAAGACTGTAAGAGGATATGTGACTGGGAGGTTTGTGGGGTTTAGGCATGAGAGTGGAGGCTAGTAAGGGAAAGTGAGAGGTTCGTACGATTCGGAGAATAGTATGGAATTGTAAATGATAATGTAAAAAAAACTATGGCCTTATGGGAATTATAAGATCGTGTCCGGAGATTTTTATTACTTGGCGAGTTATGAATATAGAACTTTATTTCAGATGGCTTTAAAGGTTTAATAGGAGGATAAAGAGGAAGTGAGATATTCAACTTACTTGCTGTTCATGTTTTGTATCCTCCCAGGGAGTTGTAGCCCACTCAATGTGGAACTACAGCGACGACGGGTGGTGTAATGTGGTTAAGGCTCGGGCCACTGAAAAGGGGCACCTCGTGTCCTCATCCGCGTCCCTCTCTCAATCCAGGTTCTTTCAGGTGTGACCCCTCCCAACTCTTGGTTACATGGTGGGTGTCCGGGCACAAAATAATGGTGCACCCCAGAGGGTGTGGCAACCTCTCTAAAGCACAAGCTGTACTCGTGCCGGCCTCGGGTTGGCATGGGCGGCGGGTGCCTTATCAGAGGCACACGAGGGTTAGTGTACAAGATCCTGTCTGCATAGACGGGGGAGGGTACTGTACTACGGGGTAACAGAAATGTTCCAAAATCCAGCCCCTGTTAACTGGGAATGGATTCGTAGTGGTACGTGGTGACGCCCCTGGCGGGAACTTAGAGAAGAGACTGTCTTCTACCTGTGACCTTCGCACGAAACTTGCGTCTGACCACCGTTATACACCCGGCCTCACAGGATACGGCGGATCGGTCGGCAGTGTATAAGCGTTGAGGACGCTATGATTATGCTAAAAAATCCCTCGAATGCGTGAGTAGTGGCGGATGGGAACGGGTAGTGAATCGGTTGCTCGAGTATGCTTTGCACGTAGCTGTAGGCTGAGCTCGATTGGAGGCTTTTACCGTATACGGTCTCCTCTAGGGGGTGGTTAGCAATTCCACTTTAAACAAAACCGCGGCCGGAGCGGATCCGGTAGTTTCTACGCTAGAGAAGCCCCAATACTCTGGGACATAGAATGGCCCTCTTTGTCTAGGAAGTGCGCGGGAGACCAGCCTGATGTATTCCGGCTTAGGTAGCCCTATGCGCGCGGCATACGGTCTGATGCATAATGCAGACCCGACCACTCGGAATGGGCAAGCAGGGAGCGAGGTAGTCTTGGGCCTTCGGAGCTGACCTCCTCTACACCAATTCTGCGGCAGTAACACCCTTCTGTCGTATGTGGAGGTGCGTCAGCTCACAACTTGAGAATCAAAATGTCCGATAAGGTTGAATAGGCTAGGTGCGGTCGTTAAAGATCCTCATTGTCCTTTTTAGGACGACCGAGTAAACGGGAAAGCATGTTCATGTTTTGCACAGTTTATATGAGGATGAGGTATAAAATTGTTAAGTTTTAAATGGGTTGCAAAAAGGCTGGTCTTGTTTCCGTCGCTAATGACCCAGGACCCATTAATTAACTTTATTTAAGCCTTCAAAGGCCTGTGTTCAAGGGAACGATTCTCTATTAAAATAAAATGTAATAATTGTTAAACAGTATTATCATTTTCTAATAATGTACAGTACTGACAAATCCTAAAAATGACATAACAAGTGCAAACAAACAAGAAACCGTGAGTAAATTCTTACCTTATCAATACAAAACGTATTTTGGAATATGAGACCCCACGAGTTTATTGCAGATAATTTAGTGTTTTTTTTTTAATCGATTCAACATTATTTTATGTTACAATATATATTCTATGCCTAGTAAGTATTACTCATTATTAATTTATACAAGCTCAAATCTGCACATGCATGTGCATTCATTCACGCGTGCAGAGAGTTGAGCTTACCAATTCTCGCAGTCCGCCGGCAATTTCAACTTTTGTAATTTGCAATAAATTACCGGCAGCACTCGAGTATCACCCACCGCGGTTGTAGGCAGTCTGTGGTCAAACCTCGGATTTGTTCCTCCAGCCACCGAGGTTGGGCTACGGGTACTGTTAACAGTTAGGTCATTTCAGCACCCAACACATGCAGTTGCTAGATCCAAACCCATTCACACTCTCACTCTTAAATATATTATTTCCTATTTACCATTCACTCAGTTAGACAGGCCTCGAGAATCACCACCTCGGGTGTTGGCACTCAAGGGTCAGACGTCGGTCAATTCATCACCTAGCAGATTCATTCACACTCTAACTGATTCTTAAATACATTCTTTCTTATTTACATACTACCTGTTCAATTAAGGTGGTGGAGTATTCACTATTCCTCATCACCCTTTACCCATGTCCCTCGGTGGAATGGCGACACCAGCAGAACAGAAAAGAAAAACGAGGACGAACGAACAACCCCGGCACCACGAACAGCTGCTCCGGGAGGAGAGAGAAGCATTCTTTTTTATCCTTTTCTGATGTTTTCTCTATGGATGACGAGGATAAAAACTATGTACATCAAACAACATATTATGTAAAAGTCCACGACCTCGACGGGCAGGGGCTACATGCCCTTCATGCCTTCCGTCCTACCATCATTTACCCTCTCACACTACTCATTCACACTGATAAATACATTCACTCTCAACACACGCTAGGGGCACTATCATTACATTGTACAATAAAACCCAGTCTGTTTCTTTCAATCGGAATACGGGATGAAGATATGGGGGCCATCCTACCTACACGTACTCTATATAGAGCCAAGGAGTTCTCTTCAATAAGGTGGGACACATCGCACAACTTTTCTCTGCATACAGGACACATACTCGGGCTTTGCCGCATTAGTAAGTTTCCTTGTGTCAATCTCGTATGGCTTACTCTTAATCGGGTAATGATGAACCTTCTTCAACGACTCAGATCCTGTGAGGGCCACCTATCAACAGTGCTCTTGGCTTCGTGAAAGCTTCTCTGCTCACCTTTACCTCTGCTTTAATTTTTTTCGGGAAGCTAATATGAAATTTCATTTTAGCACCTCCAGAGACTCCTAAATAAACATTTTTGTTTGAATTTAAATTTGTCGATTTTTGGATCCCTAAAGTTTTTTCGATTTTTACAATAAATCACCAGTAGGCCTAGAAAATCACCCCCGGGTGTTGGCGGTCCGGGGTCGGATGTCTTTCTTATACGTCCGGCTGCCGAAGTTGGGCTCCAGGGGGTACCAACAGCTAGGTCATTCTAGTCCCAAACGCTAGTAGTTCCTAATCCATTCACACTCTCACTCACTCATAAATACGTTCTTATTTATTTACATACCATTGACTCAGTTAGTGTGATGAAGTACTCGATATTTCTCCATCACCCTTTTCACATAATATGTAACTAGCCTAACTGAGGGTCGTCAGGGTACTCAGTATCCCGCCATCAGCGCTTTCACACCAATAAATACATTCACTCTCAGCAGACGGTAGGGTAAACTATCAATATAATATGCAATAAAAACCGTGTTTTCTTCAAAATTCCTCCAATTATCCACCCTTCAACTAGGTGGGACACATCGCACAACTTTTCTCTGCATACCGGACACATATGCGCGCTTTGGCCAAAAGTAAGTGCCCGTGAGTCAACCTCGAAGTTGATGAGTAGTGGAATGATGGGTTCGAAAGCCGAATATTACATTAAATGTTTCAAGTTTCCCCATAACCAACACAAAACAAAAACGTCAATTTTTTAAACTTTCTTCAAACATGAGAATTTGCGGACCTGCAACTGTTTCAACAAATGTGTTACATTGAATCTAACAAACATGTTTTTATTACTACTCAAACATGCAAAAAAAGTATCCTACCAGCAATACGTTTGTTGATAATTGTCGTACAAGCAAAACTATAATCTAAATTATTTAATAAAGAGAGGTTTTTTTAACAAAAAATACCAATAAATTATTGTACTACAGTAAAAAATATAAAATCGTCTATAGATTGCTTTATTTTAAGAAAGTACACATATTTTCAAAGTCTTCTTGTACACTTTTCTCAATACAAGCACACTATAATTACAGAATAAAACCAAATATGAAACATTTAAATAGGACAAACATTAAACCAAATTTTTTTCCTTCATTTTTATGTTCCTTATTTTAATTAAACTAGATTGATGTCTACAGTCGCGTCACGTCATGTCAGCCTGTGTCAGAGAATTATGGACGATTAGGAAAAAGTTGATTCCTATGCAATCATCAGTGTAACATGATCAATGATTAAGAGAGCAGCCATGCGCGAATATTCAAAACAACGGCTTTTGCTGAAGTAAATCGCTTATGGTAAAACGAGAAATCTAAGTTGAAAACTGATTTTACCATGGACTCAAAAATACATGCCAAATTTAAAACTATGCAATTTGATTGTGATCAAATGCGAAGTTCCGTAAGAAAATCAAAAAAAGAAGAAAGAAAGCGTTCATTTTTAACTTTTTTTTAGTGTGTAATAGTTCTTAGTAGATATTACATTGTTCTATAAATATATTGTGTACATATATTTTGAAATTGGTGTAAAGTAATCTGTTAATACGTTCGAAAAGTAAAAGATGAACTTTATGGAAAATTTTAATAAATTGAAACAAAATTAGAAGTCTGTTTAAGTTTTTTTCTCTTAAGAAAGTATAGTTCGCAAAATTTAATTTAAAAAATATATTTTTGTATGCTTTTGGAGAAAAAACTTTTACTTTCCAACATATATTTAGAAGGAGTATGAACTCGCTAAAAAAAAGTTGGCATTGTGAGTGGTAGAAAATATGTGAGCAAAGTCAAATAAATGTTGATCTGTAATTGTTTAAAACTTGATGTTGAATGGGTGAAAGGGAATCAAAACATTCTCAAGTTTTGTCGAGAACTCACCTCGGCCTGTGGCAGAGGGAACCCCCGGTGCTTCCGGGTCCCCTGGTCCATCGGATGTCTTCTTCGAACATCTTCAGGCGACTTGCTGCGGGCGGAGAGGGACGACGAGACTTCTACTCCCTTCCGGAAGGAGGCCTTCCATCCCCGGAACGTGCGACAAGGTCTCCCTATCCTCAGCCCCGTCAAAACAGTCGTCTCACTTCGCCCCCCGTGTTTCCCGAGTTTTGCCACAAGGAGGAATATTGTTTATTCCGGCTCAGACATTTATTGATTGACCCCAATAACACGCGGGTCTGTCCTAAAAACGTCTCAGTCTCTAAGGGACTTATCTCGTCTGCTTCTTACGGCCTGTCCAGATGAGAAAGATCCCCGTCATTTCCTCGAATGCAAATATTGATTTTTTGCCAGGTCACGGAATTTTAAAGGGACGTTATCCTATTTCTTCCATGACTCCCCGCCCGGAAAACCTCTCGCCTCGATCGGGTCGGAACCGCTTGGAAGTTCAATCGGAGCGAAAGAAAAGCCAATTGGGTGAAGGCAAATTAATTTACTGACTACCAAATCCGGTGCCGTGTGAATGGACAAACACAGTGAGCCAACGGGTTTGGATGTCTACTTACTCCTCTCGACCTTAAACGCCAGTTAATCGAGACATACTTAGCGGACTGTTCGTCATCTTGCAGTAGGCCTTGCGTACAAAGCTTCGATGTACACAAGATGTAAAATAAAACACGGAATGCCGAGCAATGGACTGAGAATGAAAGGGGCGCATGCGAGTTGCCTCACGGACCTAATTATGTTGCTCGTTGCTACGGCTTCCGATCGAAGTCCGGCGCAAAGCCTTCACCTTACCACCCGCTTATTTCAAACACAGAAAACACTGGACTATTATAAATAACAAAATGTGTCCACTTAAAATACAATGACGGTCTAAAGATAACTTATTCCTCGGAAAAACTATATCATAAACTATGCTTGTTGAAAAGACTCTTCGAGACCTAATAGAACTGGTAGTACTAGTTTAAATATATTAGTAGAAATCGGTTATACGGACATCCAAGCAACTTAAGAACTAACTTGGTCATTATAACTATAGTTATTACATCAGGTAGATAACTTTAAAATGCTGTGACTACAAATATGTACATATCATGTCCATAACCCCTGTGGACATAGAAATGAAAATAATGTTTACGATTTAAGAACAAATACACAAACAAACAAAATACTGATCCTTACATTTACTCTAACATTATTTAAATTAAAAAATTTCGGCTAGTATCCTACTAGTATGCCTTTAATACTACTATTAATTATATTACTGCTACTACTATTAATCTAATACTAAATCTACTACTGCTACTAAATCTAACTGCTCTACTGCTACTATTAATCACTACTAAACTAGTATGTATTTAATCCGCGTAGATTAAATTTATTATGCATGTTTACAAACTTCCGAAAAAATAATAATCACATTTTTGTGTAATAAAATAGGAAAAAACGAACAAAATTATGTACGTACTTAGATCATAGCAAAATTTATTGGTTTACTAAAAAATAGTCAGTAATACACTTTGTTTAACTTTTTTGCAAATAAAAAGCATTTTCGGTTATAGTGACAAGTTTTTTGACAATATTTCCAATCGAATCCTTTGCAAAATCATTATTGCAATCCAAAAGTTCTTGACAATTTGACAATATTCACTGCTGTAAACATTTCTTTATCAGTTGGGAAAGAAAATGCTCCGGAAAGTTCTTCACTGGCATTATATGTATATTTTATGTAGGGTGGGCGACCAAGACCCGAGGGGTTAAATGCCCGGGTTGACTCGTACCCCATCCCTAAGAGGTCCGGGACTTGGTCGGCTCACGTGTCTTGCATAAATCTCTTGGACCTGTTCACAAACCCCAAGATTTTGGACCATTTAATCTCGGGGAGTGATTTGGTGATGTCCTCTCCTTCAAAGATTTCAAATCTAGACCTAGCGTACCTATCACACTGCGAGGTAGTGCCTTCCCGTTTCTTCTTTTATTTCGCAAAAACGGCAAAAGAGATCTAGAATACCCATTACGGAGAGGTGTTTTCTCAGTGGGCGGTGGCCCGTCAGACTACCTATCAGCCTCCTAATTCCCTTCCTTGAGATAGAGAATAGCCATTTCGATTCTGCTAGTTTGATCGCCTTAACAAACTCTTTCGATTGCCTGTGTCCGGGGGATAAATTCTACTCCCTAAAGAATTGTTTCATGCCCCAATTATTAATACTCTCTTTCGCTGTGCTCATAGAGTAAGGTAATACCGGTTGTGGCCCGACAAACGCAGTATTAGAACCTTCTTTGGCCAGGCCATCCGCCTTTTCATTGCCATGGTGTCCTTTATATGCTGGTATCCAGATAAGGGTTACCTTGTTCTCAAACCTGGCAGATATTCTATTGATATGATCTACAGTTTCCTCCACCAGTCGTGAGGTTGACAAATCTTTTTGGAATGACCTAAGACTAGCCTGACTGTCGAAAAAATTCAATATCTTTTCCCATAATTTTATTTTCCATAAGTGTTCTACCACACACATCAATGCCCCAGATTTCCGCCAAAAAACGGAGGTGTTATATTCCTCACTGGCATTCTCAACAACATCGTTTTCCCTGCCGGAAACTTCTGCATTTATTCCTGCATCAATTTCTTCATCCATTGCATTCCCATGAGTTGTAAGATTCAAGTCAATGTATTCAAATCGCAGAACACCCTGCTCGATTGAGGAATCTAGAGCCCAGTCTTGCAGCAATTCTTCACTAATGTCTTAAAGTTAAGAGCTGGAATGAATCCAGAATCCAGAATGTCGGAAGCAATACAAAACGGTAGAAGTTTTACACAATGTCACGCCTTTTCTAGTATTATGATAGCATCCAATATTGAGATCTTCGGTTCTCTCTTATGGTCAATGTTAGTTAACTTAATCTCTTGAAGACCATTGACCGAAGGGCGTGCTTGGCAGTTGTCCACTAGAAAGAGGTCACTTTTTACAAATGATCTTTTCTGATCACAGATTTGTTGATTACAACGACCGGATTTCGAGCATTAAACGCTCATCATCAGAAGTTACATATACGTTTCGACATGAATTTTAAACCACCGATCCACCGCCTACACGACATTCGAATGAGAAGCTGGTTTATAGTGCCGCTCAATTTTAAACGTGCGATTGTTGCTCCTATAAAGTTATTTTGTTTTATATATTATTTTTACTAACAACCTATCAATAAATATTCTTGATATCCATCCTTTTTAGCCAAGGTTTTAATTGTTTGTAATTCTTTTAGTAATTAGCAGGTGTTAATGGAAGTTTCAACATACAGTCTTTGAGCCAATCGAATCCAGCGGTCCATGGATGAGATGAATCTGCTGTAGTTGTGGATTTTCTATGTACGTCTATTTCAATGGAAGTTATTTATTATGGATAGTTTGTTGAAGTTGTGAGGAGCGGTCAAGAATGAGGTAGTTTAGAAAAACACCTTTTTATTTTTTGCGGACGTTTCGATCTTTATGCGGGTCATCTTCAGGGCCTGGGAAAATTACAAAACATATGTTGATTGGAAAAAATACAATTTAAGATTAGATGTAAATTTTGAATCAAGTATTTCATACTCATATAAAGTGTGGTGCTCTTCTTGTGGTCTCATATTGGTTTTGTGTGAAAGTGTTGTGAAACGTGAATTTGTATTCTGTTGTTTTTATATAATTGTGACTGGGTGGGAGACGCGGTAAATCTGGGAAATTTTCATTGATCATAGGCGGTTTTATTTACCTCAAAGGAAGTCGAGCATGGGGATTTTATGGATTGGATTTGTGATTCGGCATTCAATGTTGGAAAGGAAGTTAATTATTAAGGACGATAACGAAGGAAAAGGAAATATAAAAATAAGGTTTAATAGTTTATTTGCTTTATGATGTTGGCGTAGCTGCTGAGTTTGCATGTTTCTGTTCTGTAATTAATGGTGTGTGTCTCTGTTAATGTAAACCATTTCTAGAAATTTACGTTTGTATTTGTTTTTTCCCCTGTTTACTATTAGTATTTTGTCGAAATCAAAGTTGTGTTGTTTTTCAAAGTGGTTTGTGGCCAATGCTGTGGAATTGGTTTTCGGTGTTTTACAGCCATAGATGTGTTGTTTTTTCCGTTTTTTTCTAAATATTGCGATGTAATTCCAATGCATGTTGCTGGACAGTTCGTACAATTAATTTTATAAATTATATCGGATTTGTAGGCTGTTGCTGTTGGGTCTTTCACTTTGGAAAAAGTTTATTTACTGTTTTATGGTTTTATATTAAATTATTTAAATGTCGTTTTTATATTAAATCATATGAAAATAGGTCGGGAACTAGCTTGCAAGTTCCTCTCTTTTAAACGATATGTTTTTACAACCGGAGTCCTTACAAATAATTTCAAAGCTGTAACATATTTTCAACTAAAAACTTAAAATTAATGCTAAACATTCCAGAAAAAAAGGCATCGATGGCCGCAACACCACGTAAGGCAAAGGTCTTGGGTTCGAATCCATCCAGCGCCCCTGCATTCAAACCCAACATACTTACAAATGGGCTTTTTTTTTTTTAAACATCTGCACCCTGAGGGTTCATATAATCTCGTAGTGAAAAAAAAGTAAATAAATAAATAAAAAATAAATGCCTACATACTAAATAGTCTAAATACATAATTTTTAATATATTTTTAATTAATTAATTTTTAAAAAATATTAATGTTCCAATAATTTACAATATTTTTACATTTAATTAACACTTTTTGTGATTAATTTGGTTGAGGTTTGTATCATTATATACGCTATATTAATATATCAAATAAATAATCAGTTTTTTTATAACTCATAATTAACTCAAGTAATATTCATATACATTGAAAAAAAAAAAAATAATAACAAATCGAGTAAAATTTATACATCTTTAAAATTGTCAGATGATACACTATGCATTCAATAGTATATCAATAATAGGTAAAGTTTTAATTATTTTTCTACAAGCAATGAAGCAAAACATTCTCCATATGCATTTGCATGCTACCTAAGTTGAATTTCCCAATCAGTGGGTTGCTTGATATATTAACTGTTTAATTGATGAATTACTAGTATATTTTAAGACACTTAATTTACATCCTATCAAAATCCTTGCAGTTTAACTTCCATTAAATAAAATGTTAAAAAACTAATATTGTATTCCCAGCAAAATACGAGGTCCTTTGTTACCAAGAATAGCAACGAATATATTTATAAAACCTTCCTTATTCTTGAAAACTCGAATTTAATTAGCAGAGTTGGAAACGGGAATCAACGTATTTCACCTTTTTGTACTTCTACACTAATTATTGGTAGTAATATTTACACAAATAGCCTCTACCATAAAGTAAAGGACATAACTTGATATAACATTCTTTGAGTGAATCTGCCCTTTGAAGTACTTGTTAATAAAAAATACAATTTCTTTTTGGAACCACATCTTATTGTATTATTCAATACAATTTTAATGATCAATAATAAGGAACATTAGGGGGTGTCATTGACCAACACCGGTTGGAGTTGACACGGTGTTCATTAAAGGTCCCGGCATACTTATGAATGGGCTTTTTTCGAAAACACCCCAAGAGGACATGACCTCTGCTGGAGTGAATTTCTTTTGTAGTATAATTCCTGTTTTGGTGGGTATTCTGTTTTGTATTGAAATAAAAAATCCAACCTGCTATCATTTTCAGATGAACTTGTCAAGAAACCTGCTATAACTGAGTTTCTCCTATATGTATATTACTTCATTCTTTTCTTTCAATTTTATATCAAGATTCCTAGATTGATGGGGTCCAGTGGTTTCCCTCAATATTCTCTCCCATATTACTAGAGCCCGAATTTATATGGAAAAAAAACAACACTCAAATAAAAATTTTATATACACTAAAAGACCTTAAATATGCCATACAATTTGCATCAAAAATATTAAAGCATGCAGGATAAATGTTAGACACATCACCTGACTAATACCTAACTACTTAACTAATTTCATTTTAACCAGACATTTTTAGGTCTAGTACTTTAGGTATTCATGTTGAAAGGAATGTGAACAGAAAAATTCCAGTAATATAATACAAAATAAATAATTAGATATGTGTGGTGATTAGTGACTGTTAGTCGATGATTATTCAGAAATTGTGAGATGCGGTCTGGTGTGATGTAGGTTTCAGAAAAACATTTTTCTTTATCGTGCCAACGTTTCTATCTTTACTGAGATCATCTTCAGAGCTCTCAACACGACATGCAAGAATGGCACAATTACACAGAAAACAAACACTTTGAAAATGAAAATGATCTCAATAAAGATCGAAACGTTGGCACGCTAAATGAAATGTTTTTCTGAAACCTACATCACACCAGACCGCATCTCACGATTTCTGAATAATAAATAATTAGGGTTAGTTAAGTTCAAGAAGTATTGTATATAAATTTCAAAGTTAGTTTCTATAAAACTACAGTTTTTATCGCTCAAAAAATATTTCTTCCTTGAAAAAACATTTCCAATGTCAACAGAGATGAAAGGAGCATAGTTTCAGGAACTTAAAATAATTGGATCGTTGATTCCCTGTAAAACAACTTAATTGCTTCCATTATGATTTAATTAATTTACTCCAATTCAGTCAATCCGGTATTTTTGTCAAGGATGTTTTTTTAAAAATTTCTTTGGTGCATACCACATTGTTGGGGTTTGTTTTTCTTTGAAAGGAATAACCCAGACTGCTATTTTAGAAGTTGCTGTTCCCACTTTTGGCCTTTTTTTTTAATTTTAGTAGGTTGGAAATATGAATGAGGACTGACAGAGACAGCACTTCAAATAAGGCTCCTAGTTCCTTCCATATCTCGACTTATGTCCAAAATAAATTTTTCATGCGAGGTAAAAAAACTGCACCTACAAGTTTGGAAATGGAGGTCCTCAAATAAGATGCCGACTATTCAAAAGAATTTTATTTGCCACATTTCTTTGTTCTTAAATAACCATCTTAATGGGGATAACAATAAGTTCTATAAATGGAAGGCGAAATTCTTCTCTGCAAAATATGGTGATTTTATCCGCTGGAGCTCTTGTCGGTTATTAAAAAATCTGACCTAATACTTAATTTTAAATTTGCCCCAGTCGGCATTCTTGGGTGTTTTTGCCCCCCCCCCCCACATAACATCTCAGCACGACTGAATCATCAACAGGTCTTTTGCTGGGCTAACATTTTTTCCCATCCAAAACAATCAACATAAACAGGGAAAATAGACATTTTATTCGACCTTACAAACAGTTAGGATGAAGTGAAACTTCACATTGAAATTATTTACAAACTAAATGTAACCAGTAATAAAATAATGCACGTGAAGTAACAAAACCCGCCTAGGTTCAAATGTTAGAAAATGAAATGACTGACATTATCCTCTAATCTAAAAAGTCTATGCAATTTGTTGGATAGACTTTAAGTACAATAGTTTTATTTATTAATACAATTTTACTAATAAAGTCAAGTAAATCAGTTAATAGTATAATTGATAGTTATGTACAGTTAAAATTGCTTCAAATGATAAAAAAAATTATCATAAATGAGTAAATTATCATAAATCACCATTGTCAATACTTTGGGTAGGAATAACATCTTCAAAATACATATTTTCTGTCTATGTTCTAAATAACTTTTTACATAAGACAAGCATATATTCTTACTTAATTTTTATAGGGCATTTAATTAATTAATATCATTTTATGATTTACTTTTTTTCAAATATATTCTTGGATGCGTAGGTTTTCTTGGACAATGAACTGCCAGGTTGTTGTATTTTATTTTCAAAATATTTTTAACTCTGAGCCCCCTTCGGTGCAGGTACATTATATCAGGCGGAAACCCTAACAATTATCTAACATGAAAGAACAATCCATTAATAGTATAAATATTTCTTTTATGAGACAATTGCCTGAATGATCATCATAAATTGCTGTCTCACTTACAATTGTTTGATATGCAAATCATAAAATATTATAAACGGTAAAGATGAAACACTATGAATTCGCTTTTTTTTATTGTAGCCATGTTATCTGTGCTTCATCGTTATTTACTCAATATCGAGCAATTAATTTGATATTAGGAATGTTTTCACCCAAAAGAGTATATTTTGCCAGTGACTGTTTATTGTCAAATTTTGAAATACTGGATAAAAAAATTTGTAATACTTTTTTTTGTTTTTAAAGATTTTATGATCTTACATATTAGCCAGAGGAGAAATCAAAGATGTATGCATGTTTTGTGGGGAGGAAGACAAGAAATCCAGGAGTGATGGTGGGAATCAAACTCACGATCGTGAAGTCTACTAGCTGAGAGTTATCATGCTAACCACTCAGCTCTCCCCCCCCATCTAAATACGTAGTATTGTAAAATTATTTAAAAATTAATATGCATATTTGTTTGTTTGATTATGGGACATAAATCCTGAAACCATGTCATTTTCCATCAATACACAAGTTTTTAAAATTATTTTAATATGATGTATTTAAAAAATGTATAAATGTCTTTCCATATACACAATATATATATTTTTTTTAAAAGCCCATTTGTAAGTATATAATGCAGGGCCGCTGGATTCAGACCCGGGTCTTTACCTTACAGCGATGAGTGCCATGCCAACGCCTAAACCGTTGCGGCCACCTACTCCCCTTTACAGCTTATTGTACTCCTTTCCTGATTCCATTTTTTGAATTCAGTCTGTGAGACCTAGAGAACTTTCATTTGGCCACTGTTTTTATGGGTCAGAAAAATCGAATTGGACCCACAACCATGGGATCAACTAGCGCAGAGTCTGACGCTTTAACCACTCGGCTACTGCCAAGGAAAGAACTTATTTACGGACGTTTAAAAATTGTGTGCAAGTAGATGAAAACTAATAATAAAGCCTCAGTAACTTTGTTGACTGACGAGACAGGTCTAATAGACTGCCGCCAATATATGATTCTAATAGCATGCTGAACAAATAGATCTTATTCTTGCAAACATAAATCTTTAAGAAATTAAAATGAATTCTAGTTAACTTTAAAATTGCATCAGCTCACCTTGGCTTTATAACTTGATTGGATTCTTACCACTTTCACTACTTGGTTGCACTGTCAAGTTCTGCATGAAAACCCGGTATTGTTATTAACCTTTAGTTGAAATTACAACATTGAAGCTTTCAAAGGTTAATTACTATGCTAACTTTAAATGTCTTTTGTGTGTGTCCAATCTGCTAATCATAAACAAAATTTAACCGTTTGAAACTTCTGAATATCAAATCAATACAATTAATTAAACAAATTAATAATAAAATTAAATAAAATGAATACAATAGAGTTGATTGTTTCTCTAGTTCTACTATAAAGGAATTTGAATCAAAACTTGAATTTCCAGCTATTGCACTATTATTTCAAATTACATTTATTATAAAAACAAATAAATAAATACCATCTTACTTGGAAGGCTGGATCGGCAGTTCATGTATTAAGAGCACTGTCGATAAGGCCCTCAGATGATTTTATGTAGGATCAAAGATAGGTCGTGAGGTTTTCACTTGTACATTTTTTTTGAGTCAATGCTCACGTATGTGTCCAGCATGTAGAGACATTGCTAGATGTGTCCCACCTAATTGAAGGCTGCAATTCCTTGGCTCCATATAGGGAGCGTGTAGCAATGCCACCAGTTATGAGAATTGTGTATGAGCAAAGCAGCGAGTATTAAGGTCCCCTGTTCTGATTCTTGGAGGAAACAGGATTGCTTTATTGTTTAGAGTAATACTAGTTTTGTGGCACATGTTGAGAGCGAATGTATATAATGGTGAATGTGAAGTGTGTTAGGGCCAAGAGTAGAATATTGAGTACACCTTCAATCCTCAATTAGGTGTTATATAATATAATAGGTGAAAAGAGTGATATAGGAATATCGACTACACTACTCTAACTGAGTGAAAGTGTAAATAGAAATGAATGTATTTAAGTGCGAGTGAGAGTGTGAATGGGAGATTAAGTTGGGGCTGAATGACCTATCTGTTGATACCCCAGGAGCTCAACTTCAGTGGCTGGACGGATAAAACCGAAGTCTAACTCCCGGACTGACAACACCCAATGTGTGTAATTCTGGAAACCTGCTGGCAATTTATAGTAAATCACAAAAGTTGAAATTGCCGGTGCAAGAAGTGATAGGCTCAATTCTGTACACATGCTTATATGTGTATTTGCATGTGCAGATTTGAGCGTATATAAATCAATAACTAGAAGTCTTATTAGGAACGTAAATAAAAAGACAGGTAGCTTTAAAAAGACAAAATTGTTCGACATGAATAAATAAAATCTTTACAATAAACATAATTTTGATACATAGTTTAACAATACATTTTTAAAATTACACAATAAGTGCTAATATCAACATGGTCAGTGAAAGCATCTGAAGACCACTGGAGCCAGCGGGCCGAAGGCCCGGCTTAAACCATGTGCTTAACACACTGGTGAATCCTCTCTCTGACTACACCAGAGGATGTTGAATTTCAAATGATATTTATAATTGACAGATCTTCCAAATTAAATTTATGAATATGATTTACAATTCCTATGTCTTAAAACATTGATAAGTACAGGTAATTCTATCACAGTTGAATTGTGTCTTTATCCTAGATATAAATACTGGAATGTTTGTACATATAAATGAGTAATAGCAATTTATTTTTGTGCCAAACCCTGCATTTAAAAATAATATAAAAAACAAAAATTAAGTACACAGTGGTTTTGATTTCTTAAAGCCACTCGGGCTTGGTTGGTCTTTTGGACGGAGGATAAAATGTAAATTATAATCTGTATTTACAGCATAATACACATTTGCATTAGGTGGGAGTACCATTTCTGTAAGAGAAAAGACAACATTAAGATCCACAATGGCAATAAAAAAAACTAATCCGGTTACCTTTATGTGGCAAAATTTGTGCAATCGTGTATGTGTCAGGGTTGCCCTCTAAGCCCAGCTTCATCATGGCGTTTCTAATTACTTGTGGCGTTCTCTCGTTGTTACTTAACATAATGCTTTTATACAAAACAATCCCTAGAAAGAGAAAACACAATATTATTATTCGCTTCCTCTTTCTCTCTCTCTCTCTCTCTTAAATAAAAAATAAAAAAAATACCTTGAGTTTCCACATTATTGGTTTGATAAGTGACTTTGATAATGTAGAAATCAGTTGGGCATTGACTCAAGTTTAGACTTGGTGATACTGGAGCTGTATCAATTGAGCCATTAGATGAAGATGATGTCTGAGAAACAGAGTCCTAGAAACCATAATAATGTTCAAATAAAATAACTACCTAATAAATAATGGAATCTACACCAAATAGTAATAGTAATAATAATAGAAGTTCACAAGTGACATCCCATCAAACCATAATGTAAATATTGCTACATATGAGGATGACAGATGTGTTTATAAGACTCATAGGAATGCAATATATACTTGAAATAAAATACAAAATGAAATAAACCAGATAGCAGACTCCTATGAGCAATGGAAAATTAAAATCAACTCGAGCAAATATTTTCATACTCCACAATCTCCCTTCACCAGCACGACGATAGCATGTTGATGAATCTCCCATTACATAGAACTGTAAGTATGAAGCTATAAGATATTTGGGAATCCACCTGGACCACCAATTTAACTGGAAGAACCACATTAATGCCAAGCTCAAAGAAGGATAGCAACTTGGTATGCTATTGGATTGACATCGAAATCAAAAGGCCAGCAGTTTTGTACGGCTGTGAAGTTTTGGGGTTCAACATCAAGTAGTAGAACAAAAAAAGATTCAAGCGTTTCAAAACGCAACCTACTACAATTTGGGGTAGAGATTAGCCTGTAGACCAAAACCAAGAATGATACAGGAAATTGTGTGACACAACTTTTCAAAATTGCAATTTTACAGTTTAGAATTTTGGTACAAGCAGCATTACGAAAAAATTTTGAGATGTCTAAAAAATAAGTCTGAGTGAATATACAGTCATTCTGGCCTAAAGACTTACTGGAAAGTGCACTGAACCACATTAATGCCAAGCTCAAAGAAGGATAGCAACTTGGTATGCTATTGGCTTGACGTGGAAATCAAAAATTCAGCAGTTTTGTACGGCTGTGAAGTTTGGGGTTCAACATCAAGTAGTGGAACAAAAAAAGACTCAAGCGTTTCAAAACGCAACCTACTACAATTTGGGGTAGAGACTAGCCTGTAGACCAAAACCAAGAATGATACAGAAAACTATGTGATTAAAAAAAAATGCTGTTAATTATTACGTACTGCACAGATGGACAAAATTAATAAATTAATTAAAATAAAATCAACAATGGAAAATGATTGACTGAAAGCGACCTTTAGGCATAGCAACATGGAGGGACAATTTGAGCCAACGGGATTAATCAGTACAAAAGTAAACAAAGCATATTTTTACTGCTATCCTAATTACCTTTAACTAATGTAGAAAGATAGTGGATTTAATTTTAAATTCTATAAATTGAGTAGTGCATTAAATTTGTGCATAAAAGTGGCTGGTCTGTATGGAAAGGGACACCTGTCCATTTCATTTTTTTTTTTTTTTAATAAATAATTTAATTATATTTTGAATTAATTATTGGTTTTTATTTTAAATTTGTTTATCACAAATTCCATTAAACAAAATAAATAAGCTATTTTCATGTTGATCAACAATTAGAAGGGGCGTCATCACTCTAAGGTAAAGGTCCCGGGTTCGAACCCGACATACTTACAATTTTTTTTTTTTAAATCAAAAACACTGGCACCCCGAGGGTAAAAAAATTAAATGTTGGCAATTGAGTGTACTGAACAAGAAATTGACCAATAGTTGTCTTACTTTTCACATCCTTCCAACTATTTAGTCAGGCAGGTATCCGCCGACACCTACATTTGGTTATGTGGTCACACTCCCATAAAATCCAATGTTTAATAAGCAACCAACTAAAAAATTAGCCGACTATAAAAGTCTCCAGTATGCGGTGGCCCTAAGTTGAGAAAATCCGTAGTGAATATGTTTTGAGATGGGAATTATATGTATGTATATTTGAAATAATTAGTATATTTCAAATATTTGAAAAAATTATACAGCATCACAAATTTGATTAATGTAATTTGGGTTTGAAATAGTGCAAATTTTGGGCGATACGATCTAACAATCAAATACAGATCACTATGTGCACTTTTTCCAAGTAATTTAAGATTTAATTTATTTAGATAATCAATGATGGTCTTAGTGTCCAAAATGACCAAAATAAATAAAATATTTTTTGCGCTAGGGAACAGTTGGTTTTTAATTTTCCACCATCTAAAGTGTACAACTATGGAAGATTCAACAATGCACAAGTAAGTGAAGGTGTCCATTTAGCATTGTTTAGGTTTAATAAATATGTATAATTTTAAAAGCCATTGTATAATCTATCTTAATTAAATAGACAAGGTACTAATATAAAATATATCACCTTGGTATCGATAGAAGTTGATCCATGATCAATATCACAATAAAATTGACTACTTGAACTGCTCGATGTACTTGCAACTGAATCATTCTTCTTATGACCATGTCTACAAAATAAACAATACATAAAATAAATTCCATTTTAAAGAGAAATTTGACTAATGAAATCTTACTTTATCCTTGTGTTTAATGGCGTGTTTAACGGAGGCTCAATTTGGCAAGATAGTTGGTAAGCATCCTTATCATCCAGAGTGAGCACCGAATCAAACCATCTTTCAAAACTTAAGTCTTCAGAGATCATATATGCATTAGCCGCCCCTTGGAGTAATTTAATCTGAAAATAATTATTTCATTAATACAACAGTAACTTTTCAGAACAAATTGTGTATATTAAAAAGTGTTCCGTCACAAAAGGATCATTCTTCGATTATTTTTTTGTGAACACAAAAGCATTCTAGGTAATGTGGCAATTAACAGTTGTGAAACTAGTTACAAATAAGATATAGCCTTAAATAATAATGGAGGTTACATAATAATCATTCCAATATATTTGTATCGCCCTTTTTACAATGGTTTAATACTTTTTATATTAACTTACCTGAGCCAGAACTTCAAATTCCTTTCTTCTTTTATCAAAATTAATCAGTCCGTCTGGGAGGGTATCAGGTATAGCTGTATCTATCATTGTAAGATCAGTCAAAAAGGTACCTAAATATGGTATGGTCCCGTAACTAATTGTCTGAAAATGTAAAATAAATTACCATACTGCAAACAAATTAAAAGAATAAGAAACTCACTCCACTATTATTGAGCTGGCGTTGAATAACTTTTTGCAATTGTTTGTCATTGTGCCCGACAGTGTCCGCGAATCTTGCTGTTCCTTCCTTCATCAGGAGTTCCCTCTGCGCCCATTGGTTATTCTCCTCACTAAATATTCTTGCTAATTCTTCAAACAACTCCACCTATTAGAAATACAAATATAAATCAATGAGCGACTCAAACTTAGAAATAAAAGGTTTGTAAACAAGCGTACTTTGTCTTTGGGCAGGGCCGACCAAGTCTTGTGCAATCTATATACTGGGTTTGACTGTAGTCCTGATATGATTGCTTTGAGCGACGAGAAGTTTTTTAACACTCTCAACTCCTGGAATACCACAATTCTCAATGCAAGGATAACACTATTAATACACTAGAATCAACTGCATGAGACACTACCTGTGCAATGTCGATCCACGTAGAAATTACTGAGGAGCGTGATGTTGAATTGTGTAGGAGCACCGTAGAAATAACCCTTAGGGAGACAGCATTGAACTGTGAAACTGTTGCTAGCACCGTCGGCGCTTCTTCAGCTCGCCTTTTCTCCCTCCTTGACCAAACACCTCCAAGGCATTGATGCACAATGACTTTTTTGAACAATTCCTATTCCAAATATTTCATATAATTTAACCGAGTTTAGTTTGTAACTCCTCAGCAAAATTTACTCTATTCTAACTTTCGATATGCCAAATGCTCGATTAAACAAAACTTCTGATAAATTTATTTGAAATTACTGAGCTTTTAAAATTCTTTTATTTCTAACCAGCAAACAAACATACCATGTCAATGCGTGTAAGCTGCTCGGCAAAATGTGGATGTGGAATATCTGGGAACTGATAAGGTGGTTGCGTAGGAGTTGTATGAAGACACAGACTGCCATTGTACATTGAATAAACATCTATAAAATGAACGATAAAAGGAAAAAACCCATGACAAACTTAAACAAAACAAAAACAAAATAATGTCAGAAATAATGAAAGGAAAATTCATTTCAATGCCATTTCACCGAATGTTTTACCATCACCAAAACAAAACAAATAAATGCAAGCAATCAGTCAAAATTTATAAATAACCTGAAAAACATTTTCCATTGAATAAAATAAATAAATTAATTACAAAATATAACTTAGTTGCATTGTTTAAGCATGTGCAATCTATACGGTATCAAAGCTATCACAAGTACCTAAAAAATAATATCTTCTCAGATTTGAAATAGTTCAGAATCATGCTTAATGTATAAAACGAGTTGTTACCCTCAGTTTCTAATTACTGACATGAACAAAAATAAATACCATTTCCTTTCTGCTGTGACTGGAATGACTGAAGCCTGTGCTTGAGTTTGATATGCAGCTCAGAGTTCGGCAAGTGCTGTTGTGTAAAGAGAAGAAGCTGATGGATCATCGTATAAAGTGGGGGCTGGCACCAGTCCTCCGGGTAACTTTCAAGCCAGACATGGAGAGCACCACAGAGCGTCCTGAAAAATTAGAAGTATCTGTGTGAATAAAACGAGCCTAATATTATCATTGTTATATCCTTAATGGTTTAATTTTTACATGTAATCTAATTTAACAGAAATGACTTACTTGCAGTGCTGGTCAGCCACAGGTTCTGGCAAATCGAGTTCATTATTTGCCAACTGTTCATACCTTTAAAAACAGACATTTTTTAAAAATAATATGTTTAAAAATCTTTATTAGTTTTTTCATACCTATCCAAAAGTAAAGTGAGGACTTCATCTGGTGTTGTGAACGTACGATAGGTGGCCAGGAAGACATTGACGTATGTCGACTCGAGCTCACCTTCGTCTGTGGCAAGGGCTTCGACCAGCCTCCTCAGCGTTCCTGCCTTGAGTAGCCTCACTTTAACCGTCTCCCATTCAAGATGTGAAATGCTTTCACCGTTGTCATCCTGCACGATATCATCAAGATTTAGACCATGAACGACGCTAAACGCAATTTAATACTTGCCGAAGATATCGTGTACGTTGGACGATGGTAACGGACTTTTTTCAAATAGATCGTGTAAATAGCACCATCAAGTCTTTCTTCGCCCCATACTTTCCAAGTTGGTTGCTGAGGAAAAATAACAAGAGTATAGAATAAATATTGGGTCAACCGGACAACTGGAAATGGAATAAAGAAAATAGAAATTTGTATTATTTTTTCTTATTGGCAACTTTGTGGTACTCTTAAAGGGAAATAATGTTATAATAAACGACAAACGGTAACTTGTGCAAAAGACAAATATATTTTCAACATTTCTACATTGAGTTACCTCACTTATTGTCACAATTGAGAGGTCACTCAGCATCAATCAGCAGCAATTGGTGGTCAAAAAGGCCTTTCACAATACATGAACCGTGCCAAAGAGAATTATTAATTTAATGCCATTAGTTTAATTATAACTACTCGAGATGTACATCAATGTTAATGTATTGTGAATTAATTATGCATTCAGAGCACAAGAAGAGAAAATGTGTACAAAAGAAAATTATATAACTAGATTATATTGAGCTTCAGGTCTACATGAATACTATTTGTTAATTCTTAGAAAACTATGAACAATGTATAACTAATTAAGTGGCTTAATACGTCTTTAAGAAGTTATATGCAGCCATCAGAGCTAAATTATACATTTGTAAGAAATAAAAGTGCTAAAACATATGAATTTTTTATGTATCACAATTTATCAATCCTTTTAGGAAAAATGTTTAATCAGATTGGTGCATGAACTCATTCAGTTAAGCTTATGTTTCAAGCCAACCAATTTATCCACCCCTTCCGATAATCTTCATATTACAAACTCTAACTCTTCATAAGGAATAAGATTAAGCAAACCCAATGATAATAATGACAAATATTATGTATCATCTTTTAACTCAGTAAAGTAATTCCGGCATACAAATCTTGCGATTTTAAGACTATTTTTCTGCAATGATATACAATTTAATACCTCAAATCGACTGGAGTTGTGACAATCTTTTGAAATGAAGCTTCCATAGAAAAAGTTTATCGCGTGGATCAGTTTTGAAAAAATAATAAACTCTACTGTCAAATTTTGGTTTCATCCACACAACGAAAAGCATTTTATCGAGTAAGAATGGACAAACAAGTCCATTAACTTAGGCTAACGACATAGCTGGTGAGATTGCATCAGTTCCTGACAGAGTCTTCTTTCTTTGTAGTTCATGTAGCAAGAAATATTTGCATGAAAGGAAAAGGGGAATAAACCATATTAATACATTTATTTATATATGAAGAAATAAACAACACTCTCATAACAAAAAAATATAGAACTTAATGCAAATTATGCCTTAATAACCCCTTTTGAAAGCGTAAAAAGAAATGATTGAAATAAAAATAAAATAGGGAATCCTCAAGCTAATAATCTATATATTGTATGTTGTAGTACATTTATGTTTATTATAAAAGAAATTATAATTTGTATATTATATATATATTATTGTTATTTATGTTCGTAATTATCCTCTCCTGTAAATAGGACAAATTTTTAATTAGTTTACAGAATTCAGTTAATATGAAAGGTTGCAATACTCAAAAGAGAAACTGACTACCATTTTTTTTTTTTTTTTTTTTTTTTTTTTTTAATGAATAATACTTTCAATAAATAAGTAGATGAAATTTGGAAAAATACGTTGGAATGTTTTACTTGGCCTTGTGCTAAGTAACATAAAATCTTTTAACAGAATTTATTGCCGCCAACTGTGAAACCCAAAGCAATAAAATATATGGCCAGTCATGCATCAAATAAAATAAATCACGTTTTACACTTGTCATTTGTTTTGCAGTTTTTTAAGAATAACTTTGCAAAATAAACCCGTTATAATTACGTCGATGATGAATATTAAGAGAAATATTTTTGTTTGTCACGATATACAAGATTGTTGTTTATAGTTTTAGTTGTTTTCTTCTTTTTCCACATGAAATTGTGTAAATTTTATTTTGTGGGGTTAGTTTTCCAATAATGAGCACATTGTTATTTTTATTAAAAATTTTCTTTTTTCTTTTTTACAGTAGTGTCCACGTTCGAGCAGTTTGCTCACCTTCAGATCCCACCATTTATATAAAAGAAAAACTTAGATTATGTATTACTAAAAAATTTAGTTTTATTACCTTTTGTTAAATACTACTTTCTGTACAGGTTTTTGATGTCCTGTCAGTACGAAATATGACAAATGGAAACACGTTTATTCAAGGATTATTACTTTATCAGGTTAATATTTGTTTTTGTTGGAATATATCTGAACACTAGGGACAAAACTGTAAATGTCAAAAAACACAACTTTTCAAAATTGCAATTTTACAGTTTAGAATTTTGGTACAAACAACATTACGAAAAAGTTTTGAGATGTCTAAAAAAAGGTCTTAGTGAATATACAGTCATTCTGGCCTAAAGACTTACTGGAAAGTGCACTGATCTCATTTGGTCTAATTTGACTTATCCAGCTTTGCCCTGTGGGTGCATATATAATTGGCATGAATTGTGAATAAATACGTAAGTCAGATTTAATGAGTGAAGTAGGAGAGCGATTCAAGTTGACTTAGTTGTAACATGTACTCTGTCTCTCCTGGACTTTTGAATCAAGCACTTATGGACCAAGCTCCTGACCCAAAACTTCTGATCTCAGTATACTTTTTCAAATTTACCCAAAATTAGACTTCTACAATTCATTCATTATATATTATACAACAATCTCACTACTTTGAATACTACGTTTCAGCACTCATGACATCATTGTCATCTTTTTTTAATTATTGCATTTTAATTAAATTTGTAAAAGTTTTTTGTAAACTTACTTAATAACTTTTTTAAACAAAGATAATTTAATTAATGCACAATAAATGTACAAAAATAAATAGTTTTGAATTTGGAAACAAATGCAAAAATGTAGCCTTCAGAATAAAATAAGTCTGTCGTATATACTTTGTAAGGCAAGAAAAAAATAGTATAAAAGCTACCAAATCAGGAAACCAAGAAAGCAAAATTAAACTTAAAAGATGGAAAACTGTTATGATTAAATCAAATTTAATGTGTACATTCAGGTAAAACAGTTGTAATAAAAATAGACGATGGAATGGTAGATAACTATCAAAATGCATATAATTTTCAAATTGCATGTGCATTTCTTTTGACCTCAGGCAAGACTCACTGATCGGCATTTTACTGTCTACTTTAATCTTGATCAAGTAACCAGGTAACCATGAAAAGTTGGTGCGATTTTTAATTTTTTTATTGTTTTAATACCGTTAATCAACATTTTTAGTTACATATGAGGATTAGATGTTTATATGACATAAAACCCAAAAGTTATGCGTCAGTTCTTAAAGAAAAAGTGTCGAATAGTTCACTGTAAACCATGAAATATTTTCTTTCTCATGGATTCAAAACCCATAAGTATGAATTTAAGCTTGGTACTAGGGTAATTGAGGCAGCTCTAGCCAACTACCCAAAAGTGGTTCTAAAAATTTGCTTCAGGGAATGAGGGGAATTGAAGATGAACCATCGTATCATAGAACTTCTGTCTTGAATAATGATGAATTGGGATGCTATAAAACTTGATTTGTGTCAAACGTGTCAGTACCTTGTCAAAGTGTTTGATTTAAATGATGAAATATTCAATCAAGTTTACATCGACACGGGAAGACATGGAAGCTTAGCAGCTTAGCTTAGGTGCCTTATAAATTGTCTTTATAAATTTATTTCAATGTTTTTTAAGGCACAAATTAGAGACTTTTCTGGCTGGGTTGTCACATGTAATGAAAAATGGATCCTGAACGGCAACACCAGTCGTACCATTGGCTGCCACCAAATGACCCTGCCTGGGTGAAAACCACATATTCACCAATAAAAGATGATGCATTGTATTTGGTCACCTACTATTATAGGTCTTTAACCAAAGAAATCAACGAGTATCTCTTGTCCTGGCCCATAAGCAACCTCTCATAGTGAATAGAAAAAGTGTAATTTTACCAGGATAAGCGAGACCAGAATGACATTCCATTAGGCTTAGATTGGGAAATCCTATTACACCCTACATACTCTCCTGACCTGGCCCTGTTCACCTTTTCTAAGCAACGGACACATGCGCAATTGGGATTCAAATCACCAACACATGGTTTTTTTTAAAGTCCTGGGGCCGGAACTTTATAAAAGCTGGGTTTCCACTGCGAAGAAAAAAAATCTCTAGCACAACTAAACGTGAAAATTCCTCACGAAACAAGGTGAGTGTTTGCTATCATGGCTTTACTTTATGTAAAAAAGAAAAAACCAACAAAGTTGAGTTGTTTTATTATTTTATTTTATTCATTTTTTTTACCTTTACCATCCCAAAATTGGTAGCTGTGATACATTTGGATAAGTCAAACGCATTCCTCCTTATTCACCTCATACTCGAGACAAGTATGTTTACACAGTGAGAAACAAACAACGTGAAACATTTTGATGCACACAAAAAAACCTACAGCTGGTTGGCTCATCCCGAAATATCCTCACGTCAAAAGTTTCGCAGTCCCGGCTAGGTATCCACAACGTAAGACAAGTTGTGTGAGTTTCGCGCAGTGCAAGTTTAATAGGGCTAGTAACTCATAGGGAGAAGGTTGTAGATGCCGATGAAGACTATTTCCCTGAATAAAATATTTCTAAACTAATTTTAATTATGGCAATTATTATTAATTATCTAAGCAAAACTTTTGTTTAACTGGTGCAAATTTAGTTAATTCTGTACTTGGTCGAATGGTTCCCCATATTTTGCATTCATCAAGTGAAACTTCTGTAAATCGTTGTGAGTCGTGTATCCTATGAGATATTTCGAATTTCTCTAAATTTACTAGGGAGGGGAAAAAAATGAAGTGGATTTGGAAGCACTCTTCAGACAAGTGGGAAGCGTGTGTGTACGACGAGTGTCTGTTGCCACGGAGATAAGAGAGAAGTGTCACCTCAAGAGGGTTGAAAGAAGTAAAACGAAAGACTCACCAAGTTATCAACATCCAGGTTCATTTTTCTGAGACATGATTCGTGTCTTCCCACCTTCCTCGAACGGTTTCTGGAGGCG